TAAGAAAGATATCATTAGGAACACATATTTAATTTGCAGGTCCTTGTGGGATCGACACCCCTTACTGCTACTACAATTGCAACTCGTAACCTTGCAAGTAAAAGGGGCTATTTTGCACTCATCAATTATCTTACTTTTGAGCGACAGCAGAAACAACACCATGTTTGCCACAAAGGAATTTCTTGATACTTTTAGCAGATAATTGATGAGTGCAAACCCTAAACCCTGAACCCTAAATTAGATTGATGAGCATTTTGATATTGACTCTGAATTTTTGAAAAAGGGTGGTGATGATAAATTGCTTTGATAACTTTATGATGTTGACTAATATAGTTGATGATTATGTGGGTTGGAGTGAAGAGAATGCTTCAGTGACTTTGGAATTAAAGGGTAAGGAACTTGTGTTAGTTCATAATATTAAATATGAAGGCACTGTAGGTGAAAAGAATTTCAGTAGTATGGTACATCAATTGAGTTCATTTGCTATTGACCCAGGCGGACTCAGAAATCATCTTCATGTTGATTTGATTTTGAGTCATGTGTAAAGATTGCTGGTGCTTATATTGGTTTAAATGGGATGAATCATGTCAAGAAAATTGTTGAAAAATTAATTGTGGGTGCTGATAATGATAATGCTTCTTTAGAGAAATGTGCTTATTATTCCATGAATGTGAATGCTGCTAATAAAACCATGATGACTGAATCTATTGAAGACTATAATGGCACTGAGAATAACTGGTTTTGTGGAGATTTTTGTGTAATTGGATTACCTACTTTTGGGTTGATTGGAATTAGGTTTAATCAAACAGTGAAAAGTCCTCATTCATGGGCAAATTGAGTGACTTGATTCAAAGGAGGCAGTGCTGAATTTATTGATCATATGGTTATGCTTTTCCCACTTGACGATAAAACATTTTTTGTCAAAACTGATATTGATTCATATGCTAAGAGAAAATGGGATTGAAATAGTAGAAGTGTTTGATTCCTCTCATTCGAAAGGGAAGTTACCCTATGTGGATTTTGAGGAACCGGTCTGGAAATTGTCTACTAAATATAATACCTTTGAGAAGCTCTATATGAGATTTTCTCAGGAAATCAAATTAGAGCTGATTATTTTTCTGTGTGTGAGTGAGCTATTTTGTGGACTGCACTTTTGGTTTCCGAAATTGCAAGTCTGTCTTGAGAGCTGAAGATGAAGATTTTGAGCAACCTCCTTGCTCCCTGAAAATGCTGATGATGATTCTTCCTTCAGTGGACTATCACTAAAAAGTTGGAAACACAGTTGATGACTTTGAATAAGATCAGAGTATGGATTCATTTTTGTGGTGCATTATTTGGAGTCAATACTACCTCTTTCCTTGTAGCACATTCCGAGTTATGACAGGTTAGAATGCATTATTCAAAGTTTTTGGATTGTAGTTTTGCATTTATCTTCATACCTTGAGGGTAAGGAAGCTCTTAAGGGGAGGGGAATTGTACAATCCAATATTGCCTTGTTTGGTAATCGATTGGGCACAGTAAGAGTTCCTGAAATCTACTTGAGTTCATGGGACGCGAGTTTTACTTGTTTTAAGGATGGTACTGCTTTAAAACTATTTAACAAACCCCTAGTTCAAGTACTACTTATGGGTGCTGTGGAAATTTGGAATTTAGATAACGGAAGCACTGCAATTGTTAATTTAATTCCTGATTTTGAGGTGATTAATTTTTGTGTGGTTCCAAATGGTGAGCTCCATATTAGGTTGTATAAGCCTAGAATCAACACAACATATATAGTTTTAGTTGTTGTCGGAACTGGAGGAGATAACTTCAATGGCAAACGAAACTCTCTTGGCCGTGGGGTTGAGAACGAAATTGAAATAGTGGGAGTGGGAAATTTTCAAGACAAGAAACTTCATGACTCTTGGGGTAGGTAAAGTGATAGTTTCTAGGGGTAGTTACTTCATCTATACCCATGACAACGTGGAAACTTTTCTGCTAGATGCTCATAACATGACATTTTTCGAAAACATTTTTTCAGAGCTGTTGCAGCATTATGATAACTACTATGTGGGATTAAGAGTTATGAAGTTAAAAAAGGAGGTTGTTGTTTGCAATAAACAGATTTATTCTTGGAATGTCACCACAAATGAGCATATAATAACAAATAGCAACTTCTGTGATCAAATTTTTAGAAAGTGGTTACAAGCTTTTGCTATTTTGGTGCAAGATTCTCCTTCCATGACCAAAGGTCAGCCTGCTGTTCTTAAGTTTCTTACTTTTTCATCCGTGACTTACCTTGATTTTATGAAAAAGTAAATTGAGGACATTACAAAATGTAAAATGGCTTTGATGGAGATGATGATACGGAGCTGCAACTACAAGTTCTCTGTCTTTTCAACAAGAGAAACTACATCCCATGCTTTCCAGATATATGGGCAGAAATGGATATATTATCAATGGCAGCAAAAGCATCTAAGAAGGGTGGTTCCAAACAAAGGGGCAGAACTTTAGCACTCATTAGAAATTGTTATTAAGGTAGTAGCTGATAACACTTAAATTTAACCACTTTTAACAGGGAATTTTTATTCATTTTTACTTACAAATTAATGTTAATTAAGTAAAATAAGTTTACTTTTGGGTTAATCTTATAGTTTAGGGTAATTAGAGAGTCAATGTGGAATTTACTGAAAATATTGAGCCCAAAGGTGGAAAAGAACATAAAAAGGACCAAAATAGATGTTGCTGAAAATTAGAGCTAGAGTTGATCGATTAAGGAGGAAGGAAGAGGTTAAATCCTTGCTGATAGAGGCAGAATGGCTGCATCATCATCATCATAGTTGGTGATCCCTGCAAGGTGTAGCCAAAGAAAGAAGAATGAAAATGGAAACTTGGAAGCTATTATGCTCCCAGATTGCTGCTGACTGATGCTGATTCGATTAAAGAAAAAGAGAAGCTGAAATCTTACTGCTGAAGGAAGGATATTGTTGCACTACTATTGCAAGTTGCTGCTGCTGCAAGTGGAAGAAGAGAAAGAGGAAGAATATGAAGAACAAAGTTGCAACCACTCTGCTAATTGCCAATGTTGATGCCTTTGATTGAAATGAAAGAATGGCTGCTGATGAAGGCAAGAATTGGCGCTGCAGATGATCCCGGGAAACAACGAAGAGAAGAGCAGAAGATTGGAGGCTAAATTGGAGGTTGAGATAGAAGGAAAAGAAGAGGGAACATGATGATTGAAATGAAGCAGGCTACTGATGCTGCCGCTTACCACCTTTGCTACTGGGGGTGAAGATTAAAGAAAGAAAAAAATCGAGATTTGTGGCTGAAAAATGGTGAAGAGGTGCGGGAGAAGAAAACTAAATGAAAAGACAATGATGAGAAGAAGGTGGTTGTGGCAGTTGGGGAAGAAAAGGGGGGCCAATCAGAGGAAGGCAACTTGGCAAATTGACAAATTACTGAATAAAAAAACTTCCAACTGCTGCAAGTGGTTACCTCTGTCTTGCGGAAAAAGAAGACTAGAAGAAACAACAAAGCAAGCCACTCCAAATCTATATAAATAGGATATCCAGTAGCATTTAGAAAATAACAATTTGGGAAGTTAGAACAGATCCAAAACTAGAATAGTTTTAGTTAGTCGTTATTACAAAAAATAGAGGGTCGCTGAAGGAAGAGTGCAGACTGTCACTCGGACAAGTGACGCAGTTCACTTCCCCAAAGGAGCAGACAGGTTCTGCTCTGCTACACTCTTCATCCCATTCTATCCACTATCTTTTCCACTGTATTATACTGAATCTTTTGTCTTTTGTTGCCTCATGTTTAGATCAATAAACATGAGTGACTAAACTAATTCTGGGGTTTAACCCAACTATCTATATGTGAATGTTTGATTCAAAGTTTTTATATGAAGCATTGTATCTAGTTTGAGTGTTTTAATTAACCTTTTAGTTATACTGGCCATTTAGCTAATTGTGCATGCATAATTATGAAATCTTAAGAGTGAACATAATTTTAGAACTGCTTGAATTAGTCTATGATAACAGGGATAACAACGTTTGGTTTCAATCATCAATGAGAGTTAATTGATTGGCATAGGTGATTACTAAAGCTTAGGTAATCAATGGCTCAGGTAATGAATAATTATCACAAAGATAGAGGTAATTTGGTTCTGCTGACACTCTGCCAAGTGACTTTCTCACTCTCCCAATCTGTGTATTTTTCCTGTTTACACTTTGATCAGATTTTATTGATTTACGACCATCCCTGTGGATCAACCTTGCTTACTGCTAACTAATAGTAAATGGGTAGATTAATTTTCTTTTTTGGGGAATGTCAACGAAACTGTCTTTCACCACTAGCCCTTTGTTTGCTCGGTATGGATGCAAATAATTGTTATGAATATGCAGAAATAAATGAATCCTCATGGAAAAAGGCGGCCAGAGATCATTATGCTTTGAATGCTACGACTGTTCTCTTTCTAGCAGCACCATGAGTCGTTTTAAGATTCCTTGAAGTTCTATTGACTAGTTTTGGGGACAAGACTTAATTTAGAGGGATGGATTAGTCATAAATTGATAGGTAATAATAAAAATGAGGAAAAGTGCAAGGGCTTTAGGTGAAATTTTGTAATAGCTTGTAAATGGCAGCCGGATAAAACTCACGATCTCCTTCTATGAACATTGTCGAAGAATTGAATAAATTTTTAGTTTATTTTTTATTTTTATTTTTATTTTTTGCATATTTTCAAGGTGTCCACCGTCGGTAACAGTGATTAATCCACCTCGCTGAATTGTAGGCACCTCAATGGGTAGGACAGCTGACCAAAGTATTTAAGGTTGCTCCAGCCCATGACGATGTTCGAACACTCGATCTATGGTTAAGGGTGTAGGAGTTTCTTTTATTCTACCGCAACCACTTTAGTTATTTTGAGTTTATTTTTCTTTACCTTTTTCTTTAATTTTCCTTTTTATAACAGTTGTATAAAAAAAGGCCCAATACGTTAAATAGTAAAAGAAAGCCCAGTATTACTTTAATAAGAAGGCCCAGTAGTCTTCTTCCCCAATCCCGGCTGCCGCTGCAACTGTCGGAGAATATCGTGGGCAGCAGGAAACAAATCTTTCCCCCCACTGACTCCAGCATAACCTAGACGCCGTTGCTTTCTTCTTCATCTCTGTTCTTCTCAACAGATCTGGAATTCGGCCAAGAAGAACGGTACGTATTCCGTGTCGGTATTCGTGTCACAGTGTCGTGTCGGATAGTCCAGGTAGCTTAGTCTGGCTTAGTTCTTGCTGTTATTGTGTTACTGATGAAAAATATTTCTTTTTCCTCGTTTCAGATATCATTTTGAGCAAATTGTTCTGAGAATTGCATCTCAAATCCTTCGGATATGGCTGTAAGTTAATACTAATGCTTTCCTTCTTGTTAGGTTTTCTTGTGTTAGATGAACTTTAGTGTTAAGTATCTCTCTTCTTTTGGTCTATTAGGTTGAGAAACTATTTAAAGATGAAGCTACTGAAGAAAAGGGTGACCGAGCTAGAATGGTAAGTTACCCTGTGTTGCTTTGAACTGTTCCATGGTAATCAGTTGAAATATTGTGTTGAGAGAATTGAATAGAGCAACTTGTGGTTTCAGGTTTTTCTATTTGCTGTTTTAATGTTTATTCTTTAATTTCAGGCTTCCTTTGTTGGAGCTATGGCAATAGCTGACCTAGTCAAGACAACTTTGGGTCCTAAAGGAATGGTAGGCTTGACTCTTTGCTTACTGGTCTGTCTTGCTAAATGGATGCAAGTACATACTTAAGCACACATTTTGTGTTAAAATTTCAGGACAAGATTTTACAATCAACAGGCAGGGGAAGAAGTGTCACTGTTACCAATGATGGTGCAACCATCTTGAAGTCCCTGCACATTGACAACCCTGCTGCAAAAGTGCTTGTTGGTATCCTTCATTTTTGTTTCGGCCTTAGTGTTGTAACTGTATTGTGACTTATAATTTGTTTTTTTCTGGTCGACTGTTAAGATCCTTACCTACTGGCAACTATTTTTTATTATGACCATAATGAGGCTGCTCCTGTTCTGTTTATTACTAGCATTACCTATGTGTTTCTAATAAAAGACTGTCTTAGACTCTTAGCTATATGAAGGCATTGTGTGCCTTAACTCGAATCTTCAGACATTTCAAAAGTCCAGGATGATGAAGTTGGTGATGGGACTACTTCTGTTGTTGTTTTGGCTGGGGAACTTCTTCGGGAGGCAGAAAAGTTGGTGAATGCAAAGATTCACCCAATGACAATCATCTCAGGTTTGTTTTATACTTCTGTTAAGCATATATATATCTTCTGTATGGCCTTCTTCATTAGCTCAATGATGCTCGTTCTGTTTATTGTGAAATTGTCGGTAGGTCGTTTTCAATTTCAATGATGTTTTCATACTCTGTTTGCATTTTCCTTGGAGAGATTATTATTTTCCTGTTACTTTTGTGTTTTGAGGTAATTGTGTGCTTAAAATGAAGCTAGATTAACTTTACATTTTAACTAGCTTATTACTCTGAAGATTTCCTGTTATAGGCAACTTTTAACTGTGGTGTTCCGGTGTTTATTCTAATCTGAATTGATGTTTCTGTTGACAGGTTTTCGTATGGCTGCTGAGTGTGCTCGTAATGCGTTGTTGGAGAAGGTTGTTGACAATAAACAAGATGCAGGTACTACTGAACTTTGACTTCTTGGCATTCTTGGCATCTAACTAAAATAAGTTTCCACATCTTAATATGTTTATTCAAGTACTATATTCTGATTGTACATGTATGTGCTCCATTTTTATGTACATTTAGTGGCTCGATTTACTTGTTGAATGACCTGGTGCTAGAGCTATTCTCACCTCATTGTTTGATGCAGTAGTGTTGTGGAGTGTTTAAATCTTCATTTAATTTCACCCTAACCTCGTATTGTGTCATTAATGAAGTAATCCTTTGATGCAGAGAAATTCAAATCTGATTTAATGAAGATTGCAATGACTACTTTAAGTTCCAAAATCTTGTCTCAGGACAAGGAACATTTTGCAAAACTAGCCGTTGATGCTGTCATGAGGCTAAAGGTAACTGTGTCTTAGGCATCTTCTGCTGTTTTGTGTGCATGCCAATTTCAGGATTGATCATTCTAATGTTTTAACTAAAATTGACAGGGCAGTACAAACCTGGAGGCTATCCAAATTATAAAGAAGCCTGGAGGCTCTTTGACAGATTCTTTCCTGGATGAGGGGTAGGTAATGTTGTGTAGAAATCATTATATTTTTCAGAATTACAAATTGTATAGTTAGGTTTACCTGCCTTTCTTTTTCAATGATGTATGTTTGTTCAGGAGATGTGTAATCATATGCTTATCAAGTTTGTTTACTTTAGTATGGTAATTGTTCGTCATTTTTTAGGATCCAGTTCTGAACATTTGCAAGTTTTATGCGGAGTATCTCTTATTGTTTAAGTTTATGCTTAACAAGTTGCATATTGTTTAATTTGAATGTTCGTGGTTTTGCAAAGTTTATATGATTTTATCATTAAATCTATTTTGTTTGTGTTGCTTTTAGGTTACTGATGCTCTCAGAATTTCCTCCTGGATGGTTTTAAGACCCAATTTTTGTTTGCATAATATTGATTCTTTTATTGCAGGTTCATTTTGGACAAAAAAATTGGTATTGGGCAACCCAAGAGAATTGAGAACGCAAAGATTTTGGTGGCCAATACCGCAATGGATACAGATAAAGTGAAAATCTATGGGGCACGTGTTCGTGTTGATTCAATGTCCAAAGTTGCGGAGATTGAGGGTGCAGAAAAAGATAAGATGAGGGAGAAAGTGCAGAAAATTATAAGCCACGGGATAAATTGTTTTGTAAACCGCCAGCTGATCTACAATTTCCCTGAGGAATTATTTGCTGATGCTGGAGTACTTGCAATTGAACATGCTGATTTTGATGGAATTGAGCGGCTAGCTCTTGTAACTGGTGGGGAGATTGCATCAACCTTTGACAATCCTGAGTCTGTTAAGCTTGGACGATGCAAACTTATTGAAGAAATTATGATTGGTGAGGACAAATTAATCCACTTCTCTGGTTGTGAAATGGGACAAGCCTGTACAATTGTGCTTAGGGGTGCAAGGTAATAATGTGACAAGATCTTTGCTGCTCCCTCGGGTCTATATTTTTACCTCATCTGTTGTGATAACTTTTAGTACCTCATCCGTTGACCTAACTTAATTAGCCCATGTCACTTTTTCTCATTGCAGTAGGGGCAGTTTATTGTTTGTTCCTGTTTCTTAGAATATTGCATGTGGCCATTCCTGAAAGTACTTTTGCATAGAACAATAGCTTATTAATCTTTGTTCCATTTCTGATGCTTCTGATGTAGTGTCTTTTCACCATTCACATTAGGAAAGAGAAAGTTTAATTGATGTTTTTTCTTTGAGATTTTGTGATTTGATCAGTAACATAGTACTCAGAGGCATCTTGTCTTTTCTAGATTCTGGTTAGCTGTGAAACTTTTTTTTCTTTTTCTTTTTTATGGTTTAGCTTTACAGTTGCAAGCAAAGTAATGTGTTTGAATGTTGGTGCAGCTCTCATGTGCTGGATGAAGCTGATCGATCCCTTCACGATGCCTTGTGTGTTCTATCTCAGACAGTGAATGACAGCAGAGTGTTGCTTGGAGGTGGATGGCCAGAGATGGTGATGGCCAAGGCAGTAGATGAACTGGCCAGGAAGACCCCTGGCAAAAAATCGCATGCCATTGAAGCTTTCTCTCGAGCATTGTTGGCCATCCCAACTATAATTGCTGATAATGCTGGTCTTGACAGTGCTGAATTGGTTTCTCAACTCCGCGCGGAACACCACGAGGAGGGAAGTACTGCAGGCATTGATGTCATATCTGGATCTGTAAGTATCATATTGCGGACCATTAGACATCTCGATTCATTATTTTTCTACTGGATTATGCTATCTGGATAAGTATCATATTGCGGACCATTAGACTTCTGGAGTCATATTTTCTACTGGATTATTTAGCATGTGGAGGCTTTTTGTAATATCTATCAGCTCTTGTGTCATTTGTTTACTCAACTCCTTGTTTCTCGGGCCTTGACCTGTATTAGTGTGGAAATTGTCCTCCCTTGGACGATTTGGAAACTTGGAGAGGGGCTAAATTTCTTATCATTCAGTTCATCTGACGTATTCCCTTTTACTTGCTCGTTCTTTAATTGCTGAGGTTTGCATGATTTGCACATGGAATTAAGCTCATGCAATTGTTTATTTGATGCATTAGTCCAAAGATACTGTTTAAAAGATGTGAACTAAGGATGATCCAGTATCCACTTTGCAATATAAAAGCTGTAGCCACTGTTCCTTCCAGGTTTTTTGCATTATCTGACTTTCAACTTTTCTTTTTTGGCATTAATACCAGGTTGGAGATATGGCAGAGCTGGGAATTTCTGAAGCATTTAAAGTAAAGCAAGCTGTATTGCTCTCCGCAACCGAGGCTGCAGAGATGATTTTGAGAGTTGACGAAATCATTACTTGCGCCCCACGAAGGAGGGAAGACAGGATGTAAGAACCAGAGCTGATTCCCAAGTTGAAGGGTCGTGCTGATTTTCACCAGCATACTTTCACAAGGAAAAAGATCTGGTCCGACTATGTTTGTGAACTTAGATAATTTCTGAATCAATTCTGCTGCTGTGTGTTAGTTGCTAGATAGAGAAGATTTTAGTAGTCTAACTACTGAGTTTAAGAAGTGTGTATTTGGAATTCCGAAAAATATTTGGCTACTTTTACGCTATCCGTTCGGTTTTGGGTGCTTCCTTTTGGGAAGAGTAACGAATTACAGATATTAGTAGTAGTAGTTTATAATCTGGATATTATTCAGGTTTTACGTGGTTTTGTTCCGGATACAGTACTCTTTAGTTTTATTTCGAAATTTCAATATTAGAAGATTGGAACGAATTTTAGCCCATTTGATAAGATTTAGGGTTTAAGACATGAGTTTGGTTGATTTCCACCGGTTGCAAATGCATAATACTATTATTTGTTATTCAAAATTTTTGTATTGTTTGAATTTTCAATTTTAGTATATTTTATATTCAAAGTTCATTCACTTTTTGTCGGTGGGAGTAATAATCTCTAATTTTTCTATTATAGAAAAAAGTTATCGTCATTAAAAATTACGAGTACATGAAATTTCTTTAGTAATAAAAGATGGAAAATGTCTTCCAAAAGACGATGATAATAATAATTAATAAAATAAAAATCATAAGGTCTGCGGTGGGTATTAATTAGTATCATTTTCATAGAGATAACCCAATTTTCCATTAGTACAGTGGACTTTTTGCATACACCTAAGGGTACATTACATGGAAAAAAAAAAAGAGAGAGAGAGATGTGAATAAAATGTACGACTATTTATTGAGATTTTGGTTGCAAGCTTGGTACATATTGCTTATTTTAATATAACACAAATTTCACCAAATAAATAAATCATGGATGACTCGCCATTGTTTTCAATGTTATCACTGAGTTAAGTCGTAATGGATTGAAATCATTAAATCGTTCACCTCTCTGGATCACTAAAAGAATAATTTCATTTTTTTTTATAAAAAAACCACCAAATAATAAGCTTGCGAATTGCATGCTACCGAATTATTTTCCACCCAATTAGCAAATTAAAAAAAAAAGAAGAAGAAGAAGAAGACAAACATTGAGAATTTTAAAATGTACCAGCAACTTTTTCCCTTTTTTTTTTCATTTTTTCTTATTACATAATTGAAATTTCTTCATCAATATGCAAAGTAGAGCTGTCAACATGTGAATTCGTTGGCGAGATTCCACTTGAGAATTTATTTATCTCAATTTCATTGAGCAACTTGTTCAATTAATGCTCCCTTTGCCCTAGAAAATGGTCTATATTGACAAATTACGATTTGCATATGTAATAGACAGGAGAGTAATATCTTTAGTTGCAGGCAGTGTCATCTATGGACTGAAATACTTTCTAGTGGAATTTATTCAGGACGATAATGTTAAAATTAATTTTACATTAGCTAAGATTTTATTTTTTCCCCAAATATAGCAACATCAATTTTCTTTTAGCTTAATCAAAATCGTAACTACATTTTTTTCCCCTCAAAAATCCACCCCAATGGGATAAAACCCCCGTTTAGATATCCCTTGGTCCCTACCTTACATACCCCTTGCTGGAAATTAAACATATATCTAATATCGAAAAGCACAACATCCTAATCACACATTTTTATTTCTTTTAGCATCAATTTTCTTCATGGCAAGATATTTTGGGTTTAGTTGAATGTTAAGAATGACCTTGGCATCATAGTGGCTCCCTAATAAATAAATCTTCATTAAATCGTAAGGCCTAACGAAGTAAAATTTATGCAATATTCAGGTCCGCCAAGTCCAATAAGACGATCACTTGTTTATTTTTTTTTTTTTATGTTTATCTCAATATTATCCACTAAATCGTAAATGTTATATATTTATCTACAAAAATCTTACACAAAAACCTCCTAGAAAGTTAAAGTACACCGTTTCCAAAGCGAATTTTAATTTGTTATCTTTTGCTTTCATGATCTCGGTCATTTTTCAGTTCTATTAAGTATTGGTTTTTGGCGGCTACCTGATTCATATGTGAATTAGCATGTCCTTTGGAATTTACTAAAAATTTTACAACTTAGGGGTAAAAAACGACTTCGAAAGTTGACTCAAGAACAAGTTTCATAGGTGTTTGATGCCTTAGTTGGTTTGATGTTTTTTCGGACTCTGATTCATCATTTAATCTTGTGACCTAACCTAATTGGGTCGACATGTCATGGCGGTCATGTTATCTAAAACCTGTGAAACACTAATTAAAAACCGTAAATTAACCGCCAAATACAGTTGTGACGCTCGTATATAATCACTAGGAGTTCGTATTAGTATTATTTTGCAGGTTATTACATTTGGTGTGAGTTTTTAACGATTTCGGTAGATTTTAGGACGCAGAAAAATCGAAAGAACGAAATGAATTTTATTTCAGTACTAAAACCAAGGCAAACTTCAATTATAACCTTTTCGAGTTTTCGTTAATCTATGGACTAGACTTCTCTAAATATGATTTTCCAGCTGTGGATTATTATTATTATTATTATTATTATTATTATTATTATTTTGCATATTGTTGTGATTGTATTTTGAAGTACAATCAGATGGAAGATAATTCGTCAGGACATGTATGAATAAGAAACTGAGAAAACCAATTAATAACAAATGAGGTGAGGTGGTCTAAATAAACTTAAACAAAACCACATAGGTCGTATACATGTTTACCTAAATTATTATTATTCCAACAATTATAAGGCAAAAATCATAAAGTCCATCAATTACACTTTCGGTTCAAAGTGGAAATGACATTGAAACATGAAAAGCAACAAAAATGAAAGATGATGCTGATGATGATGAGCAGGACTTGAAGCAGCTTCCACTTGACGTACATGTTTTTGCACCTTAATTAGGTGATTCACTTTTCAAACACTTTCGTTCAGGGTGCAGAGTTAATTAATATCAACGAAAAGCTTGATTCCTTTGTTACACAGACTATTTTCAGATATAAAGTAAAAGAGACCGAAATCAGTGCAATTGTAAACAAAAGGGCTGCCGTTGATCGCGACAAAGTCCGAAATACTCGTATCACAATCGTCCCAAGCAGCGCCGTCTCGAGCTAGGAAAATGGGCGCCCCGTATGGTGTGAAAGTGAATGCTGCCATCAAAAATTTAACCCCAGAAAAATCAAAAGCTGATTATTTCTTCTGCATTAATGAGTAAATTAACAAAACATCCTCTCTATCTCGAGAAAATAGTCCATTTAACCAGTACGACAGAATGGACTATTTTTCTTGAACAGAGTACTGCGCACATAAAATGAGACGAACAAAACAAAGAGAAGAAGGGATGGGTAACTTACTCAGCGTGTCGCCTACGTTTACCACCATCGGATGCTTCTCCAAAAAGGCTCTGGTGTTCCACTGTATGGGGTGATCTGTACCTAAAGCGGGAGACCAGAGACCCGCTGCGATGATCAGCATCAGCATAAGGCTAAAGCGGATCATCACTTTTGCTTCAGAAACGCCACCCATTATAATCAGAAACCAAGTAACAGTTAATTTCTAATTGATAAGTACTACACCAAGATGATTAAAGATGGGTTGAGTGCAATTTAGAGATCACTTTATCACGTCTTATATATAGAATAGAGATGAAAACCTGCATGTACATACCTTGGAGCTCCTTCATTGTCATCATGATGATAATATATTTAAATGTTTAGTTTTTTTGAAATTTTTATTTCATAAATAATAGATCTAAAAAGGTTAGCACAACTAATCATCGACATGGACATTCTTCTTGCAACTAACTAGCTAACGATCTAAAACTCGGTTGTTGTATCTTTTTCTTTTTCCCTCTTTAGCTATGTAATTTATTTTTAAAGTCGGACTTGGTTTCTGTTGATGTTACATTATGTAGTTCTATCTTAGTGCGAAAGAGTTTAGTAAGAGTGACTCGTTTATTCTGTGAAAGGTTTAGCATCAGCCCCCTTCCTCCCTCTCCACCACCATCCAAAAATGTAACCCCTCCCTCCTGCAATTTTTTTCCAATTTTAATTTTCACATTTAGTACAAATTGAATTAAATATGAAAATCCAAATTGAACAATAATTTTAAGACGGAGGGAGTATTACATAAATTAGAAGTTGATTAATTCATTGTGAGTTGGATGTCATCAACCTATTCTTTTAGCTCGGTAGAAAAAATCTCTTTTCTCATGATCTTCTAAATTAAAAATAGAGAACAAATTAACTAGAAAGATTGATATAATCACTCTCTTATAGAAGGATCATCTATAAAGCGATCTATAATTAATTTTCATAGTTCAACATAAAATTATCAGAACCTGAAGTAACAACTAATTCGGACTCACATTATCCGTTGCCAAAAGATCCGCCGGTAAAGATTTTCATCACATAAATTTGCTGGCAATTAATTTTGGCTATCATTTTTCCGGTCAACGCCTATATAGTATATATCCTAACCGAGATATTCTATATTATGGAAGTCTCACTCTACTTTGTGGGAAGGCAACTGTAACCTGTAGGAATTTCACCCCTTGTTCTTGTTTTCTTTTTTTGAACTGTGACCTAGTATTCTTTGTAAGCCCATATGTGCTTGCCGATGTTACAGCTAAAACCGAGGCACATTAACGCTTTCAACCAAAGGCATCTCTGAAAAGCAAAAAAAGAGGACAACAATAACAAAATTTGTGAAACAAGCTAATTGAAAATTAATGCTTTAATCTTCTATCGTCTCCTCTTATCAAAGGGGGTGAAAGTAATCTGCAATGGAGAATTCAGGGGGGAATTTATACTGGTATAGGAATATAGAGTTGATAAGAAATTAACGTGCTAAACTTAAATTTAAAATTACATATCCTCAGTCAACCTGTTTCACAAAAATAGACTATATCTTTACAACTTACAAAAATATCTAAAAAACAATGTTGATTTTGATTAATTTATTGTTTCCTTTGATTTATTTGATCATGAAAATGCTTTGTTGAACCAGCAGAAATTAAAGGATGAAGCAAAAGTTTGCGGTGGTAAGTCTCATGGGAATATTAATTATCATTTTCATAGAGACAACCCGATTTTTCATTAGTATAGTGGACCTTTTTGTATACACGTACGGGCATATTACATGGAAGGGAAAAAAAAAGATATGAAGAGAATGTACAACTATTTAATGTGACTTGTAGAAGTAAAAAGTGTACTTTTAACCTCGCAGTTATCGGAAGTGTGATTTTTAGTCTTATGGGGCTTAAATAGTTAAAGAAAAAGGGAAGAAATGCTGTAAACCTTGTGGGGTTTAAAAAGTTAAAAGTATGGTATTATTTGCAACTGATGCAATTGGCCCATTTGATATCTAACTTGGAGTTGGTCATTAGACTTGGATTAAGCCGGTGAGCTTAAGCAAACATCCACTGGATTTTACCCACAAATCTTGACCAATGGAAGTTAAAACTGGTTTGCAATAAGCTGGAAAACAAATGATCTTATACTTAGCCCGTCTATTAAGTCTTGACCTCAATTGGATGGGTATGTTCAAGCTTATTCTAAAACTCAAAATAATGTGGTTGGAAATGGTAAATAGAAGGAATGCCATGCATGCATGAAAGCAAATTGGTGGCTGCAAATAGCAGTTTTTTTTTTAAAAAAAATAAAGATAAATTTTATTTTTTTAAAAAAACAAGTTGGCAGTGTAATGACCCCTTTTAGCAGTTGAAATTGAAGGCCAAACAAAATTGTAATTACAGCCCCACAGTGAACAGTGACAATATCGACCATGAAGCACAAGTGTGTATTGGTGTTTCCGTGTATGTCTACCTATTTAGGAAAGCAAGTTGGTGGCTGCTGGAGCGCAGGTGCCTTTAGGTGTAGTTGTAACTTGTAACTTGTAATTGGTGGTAAATTGGATCATACATACGCATATATTTGGCAAAAATGTCGACAGAGAAATACACGAGGACTTTGTACTTAAAATATGACTTCATGTAGTTTAGCTTCTTTTTTTTTTTTTTTTTTAAGATTAAAGAAAATGTCAACGTAGCGTAGACCATGGCCTATACTCAAGAATGTTTCAAAGATAGGCACATTATAGGGAAGCAATTAATAAGGTCAAGACTTATGATTTTTATCCAAAGTTTTACGGCAGTACTTCTTACAAAGTCAGAAGTCATCATGGATAAATGACACAAGTTGACATTTTTTTTTATACAAGTTGTACATTTTACGATTACATAGTCAAAGAAGCAGACTATAAATACAGGAGCAAAACAAGCAAATCTTCCACACAATTCTTAGTCAAACACATCAAGATTTAATTTTCTAAAGATCGATCAAATGGCAAAATTCATCAATCTTTCCCTTCTCATTCTGATGATCAGTATTATTGGTTTCCTTCCATTCCAAGCAACTGCTGTTTCCTGCGGCGGTTCATGCAGGACCTTGAACGACTGTGATGGCCAACTAATCTGTATTAACGGAAAATGTAACGACGACCCGGACGTCGGAACCCATATCTGTTCCGGAAGTACCTCCCCAAGCCCACCATCCGGTTCCAGCCCATCGCCGTCAGGAACCTGTCTCCCGTCCGGTTCTTTCACGTGTAACGGTCAGACTAAATCCACGTACACTTGTTCGCCGCAGGTCACCGGGTCAACACCGGCGACATTCACCCTGAACGACTTCGGCCCCGACGGGGACGGTGGAGCTCCTTCGGAATGCGATGAGAGTTTCCATGATAATTCCGAACGAGTGGTGGCGCTTTCCACCGGGTGGTACGCAAACGGGGCGAGGTGTGGGATGATGATCAGAATCACCGCCGGTAACGGCAGAAGCACGACGGCGAAAGTGGTGGATGAGTGTGATTCGATGCACGGTTGTGATGAGGAGCATGCGTTTCAGCCGCCGTGTGATAATAATATCGTGGATGGTTCGGATGCTGTGTGGAAAGCGTTAGGGCTCAATGAAAACCTCGGACGAGTTCCAGTTACTTGGTCCATGGCATAAGAAATTGAAAGGACTATCAACTTTACCAAAGTCTAAAATAAAGAATTATAAACTAAAGATTTCAGTATTAGTAATCAAGAGCCACAATTTATGCATCCGCAAAGTTATCTTGTTGAATGAAAATGATACAACTCATTCTCTTGTACCCAAATAAAAAATGGATTCGTTCTTTGAGAACATTGAGTAATTTGTGTTGGCTCATCAAAAAATTTATGCAATCTTCTTTTTTTTTTACACTGTATCATAATTTCAGGTCATGTATCATGCACGTGCGTTATAGTAATAAAAATCATGAACTACTACTAAATGAAACCAAAAACAAGTAAGATTAGTTTGATATTCCTCCCTCCTAAAATTATTGTCTAATTTGGATTTTCAGTTTTAGTTCAAATTGTATTAAAAATGAGAAGCTAAACTGGACAATAATTTTGGGACAGAGAGACTATATTACAACTCTCAGCTGTTACCGTACATCCGCCTAAAAAAAGTAGTGAACTAATTACCCCTCAGATCAAAAGCCAGAAGAAAAACCTGAAACTATATAACGTTAAGGGGGATTCATATATGCCTGTTTCTTTTCTTTCTTTATTTTTTTTTCCTTTATTTAGTATAAATAGTGATTTTACTTCTCAGACCTTTTTTTAAACTATAAAACAGGTAATAATAAAATTATCTCAATTGAGCAGCGAAAGCATATGCATGATTATTCAACGCATGAAAATTAAACTTCATACAATAAGTTGTAAGGAGGCATTAGCAATGAAACATATGAAAATACCATTGATGAATGTTATTCCTCTGTTTCCAGTCATTTCAAGGATGATCCAGAGTTGGAATCCATGACTGCTAAGGTACTTTAAGCCTTTATTATTTTATTCACAATTACCTGTAGAAAATATCTTGATTGGATAGTGGATTTGTGACTTCAATTTCTGGTTTGATGATTCAGGGGATTCAGAACTGCTGGAATTGAAAGATGAATCTGCTGAAGATTTCAAGATGAGCATATGTTCTAATTATTTAGTCTTTCTTGGGTAATCGAGTTGTGCAATGGACATTGATTTTAATTAAAACTAACTAGTTTATGGAATGCAATTGATGGTGTGTAACTTTTAAGTAGTGCAGAATATTTGGACAGATGCGAGGACTGGAAGGCGAGTTGATGCAGCTGAAATCGCAGGCTTCGACACAGAAGCGAGAGATACAAGAGCTTACAAGGACTGTTCCTTTGACGGTTTTGTCTGAAGAGATTATGGAAACGGTGTTTGAAGAATCTTTAGATATTTGGCCGGATTCAAGCAATTTGGAAGGTCACACAGATGATGTTTTTGAAATCCTGGAATTACTGCTCTCAGAGAATAGATTGAATGGAGCCCTTTCTGTACTGGAGATGGAAGGCAGGGATTTGGAGAGTATGAGATTCAGGGAAAAGCTTCTCTATGGAAGAAATGAAGGCTTAGGATTGTGCAATTGCACAGAAAAGGGCATTGCTTGCAGATTTTTTAACACAATTGGCAAAATCCTAGAATTTCAGCGCCTGAATTGCATCAGGCATTGATTGGACTTTTCAAGACTCATCTCACATTGCAGCTGCTCCTTGATTACTACAGTGCGCGCATTGCAAGAAGGGCATAATATTTCAGTTCCTCGATAGCATTTCAGAATGGACTAACCATTCGAGAAGTTGCAAAAAATACGTGTTCTCCATGATCTCTCAAGCAGCAAGTTGTTTTCTAGGGTTACACGGCGAAGGTACTTTCTATGCTCCCCAGCATACGCAAAGTTATCTTGTTGAATGAAAATGATACAAAATAGACTCATTCTCTTCCTGTACCGAAAATAAAATAGACTCATTCTCTGGGAAGATTAAGTAATTTGTGTTGGATCGTCAAAAAATTTATGTAATCTTCTTTCTTTTTTTTTTCACAAGTCTTTTTATTCAATTTAGTCATTATATTTCGTTTAAGTTCATCAATTCATTAACAATTCATTTTTTATTCAAGTTATTACAAATTTTCATACCCCTTTCCTTCACGCCTAAGCTGAATATTGGATCTGACAAACTACACACTTTCGTCTGAGATTGTTTTCAAGCGTGCGTCAGTTTCTACTGATTATTTTCGCATAAACATAATTGGCACGCTCAGTGGGGCTGATTTTCGTATCTCGACTAGGTTTGAAGTCATGTCAACGACAACAGCAACAACTTCCGTTCCGACAAGAGTTACTTCCTCCGGTCCGTCAACAACTGAAGCAGCGAAATCAACTAGAGAAATAGGAGCAGCATCGACTCTTCCGTTACCATCGTCAGGAGTACCGACTCTTTCGGTGAATCAGAATCTAGAACACGAGTTGAGAAGTTCTTATGACTCTCAGTTTCACCAGAATCAAGGTGCTGAACAAACTGCGAAACATTGGCTAGCATGGCTTAACGCCCAACTAGGATTAGACCAACGGGGACGTACTAAGGAGTCGGCATACAATACACCCCAAGATCTTGAGCAAATTATTATAGGCCAGCAGAATAACACCATTACAAGCATGCTAGCCCGTGTCGCTGCATTGGAGCAATCTTTCCAAAAAGTTAACCCTAATGGAGGGACAGTACCTGAAACTCCATCGATAACCCCCGATGCATCATTGAAAGTACCACTGCTGAATCCATCAACAACACTTACCCATGACAACCCGTTGTTCTCTAATTCGTCAACAGCGGTGCAGGGGTTGTCAGCTAGTGGAGTAAGCCAAGTAGGAGTTGTTCCAGAGATTACACCAATACCAAACCCTAGTTGGTATTACTGCGCTGAACAAAGTCAACCAGCTTTTATTCCGCCAGTTGGCAATTTCACCTTTGATGGCGGTTCGTTACCTTATTATGAGAGTTACTAGGGACCAGCATTAAGTTATGGACCTACACCAACTGTTCCAGCTGTGAGATGGCCACCAAAAGCTCCAGGTTACCCATCAACAGGTGGTTTCACTCCACCTAGAGGGATCATACCACCGCCAAGGCTAGTGATTCCACCAAATTCATTAAATGGACAAAACTCTCCGATGCAGAATATTGAGAATCCACAAACTCAAGCGATACCGACTCCAATGAATGTACGGCCAGTTCCAGTGGTGGCCAGGACTCTGCCTACAGCCAATCCTCTCCCGCACAGTGATCAAAGGTTTGTAGTATATGGTAATCAGCAAGGAAATCTGACTTGCTTTGTACTCAATCCATTGTTGTTCTTCAATTTCTAGTTTGATGATTCAGGGGATTCATAATCTATCTTTAGAAGTACTCGAATTGAAAGATGAATCGCTGAAGATTTCAAGATGAGCATATGTGCTAATTATTTAGTCTTTCTTGGGTAATCGAGTTTTGCAATGGACATTGATTTTAATGAAAACTAACTAGTTTATGGAATGCAATTGATGGTGTGTACCTTTTAAGTAGTGCAGAATATTTGGACAGATGTGAGGGCTGGAAGGCTAGTTGATGCAGCTGAGATCGCAGGCTTCGACACAGAGCGGGAGATACAAGAGCTTACAAGGACTGTTCCTTTGACGGTTTTGTCTGAAGAGATTATGGAAACGGTGTTTGAAGAATCATTAGATGATCGGCTGGATTCAAGCAATTTGGAAGGTCACACAGATGATGTTTTAGAAATCCTGGATTAACTGCTCTCTACAGAATAGATTGGATGAAGCTCTTTCTGTATTGGAGATGGAAGACAGGGCTTTGGAGAGTATGAGATTCAGGGAAAAGATTCTCTATGGAAGAAATGAAGGCTTATGATTCTGCAATTGCACAGAAAAGGTCATTGCTTGCAGATCACTTAACACAATTGGCTAAAAATCCTAAAATTTCATAGCCTGAATTGCATAAGGCATTGATTGGACTTTGCAAGACTCATCTCGCATTGCAGCTGCTCCTTGATTACTACAGCGCACACATTGCAAGAAGAGCGCAAGATTTCAGTTCCTCGATAGCATTTCAGAATGTACTAACCATTCGAGAAGTTGCAAAATACGAGTTCTCCATGATCTCTCAAGCTGCAAGAAGTTTTCTAGGGTTACACGGAGAAGGTACCTTAAATGCTCCCGAGCTAATCCAATGGAGCAAGAAAAAAACTCAAGTTTTCGCCGTTATACTGACAAAGTATGTCGAGTCCACATCAGAGATAAGTGGAGGGCTATCTGCTATGGTAGACATTTCAGTGTGCATTGTCATATTGTTGATGGTTAGAGGATCAAAAGGTATTCCTAAGGTCATCTTTGATGAATCACATGAGCCCCTGTATTGAACAGATTCTACACAGACAAGAAAATTAAAGATGTTTGCAGAAGATAGTTGCATTGAAGTTAATTGGTTAGAGGATCTACTCAAGGAGCTGATGGAGGAGATATTTGTCTGGATTTCAAATGAAGAGGGAATTTCATCCACCACTGAAGAATTCTTTGAGGAACAAAGCTACAATTGTTTGATGCAGGTGCGGATTTGCATAATGTAAACTTCTTTTAGTGTTTCTACGATCTGAAAAAAAAAAGTCAACAAACCATTGTTCTGATACTGATATCTGTCATTAGTAATTACTCATTCAAAACCACTCTATCCTATTTGAACTCATAAACACAACTTTTTCGAGATTGTTCGATTACCTGTTTTAAGTTGCACGTCTTAGTTCCATGATTGATAAAGACATTAATGACTTCAATGTATTGCTATTCCGCACCATTGCATACTTTCTCCAGCTTTAGTTTATGTTTCACTAATGATTTGTACATTCCAATTGTTTCTCAATGGATGTTCTTGAATCTCTATCATGTTGTTCATCCTAGAGATTCATATCCTAGAGGAAATTGCTAGAAATGGTGGATATACGTAAGATAATATGATAAACTCATCTACAAATATCTTATCTCAAATAGAATGCAGCCTTCCTTCTGCACAGTTCAGCCTTGACAAGTAAATTGCCTCATTTAATCTCTGATGAGAAAGAAAAAAAAAAGGAGTCAATTGAATAAAAGTCATTCAATGAAGTGATCTGGTGCTTCTGTTTCAGATACGCTACAGATCAAAGATTGGCCAAGGATGCTGCTATACGGGCTATTTAAAGATTGAAGAACTCGATGAAAAAGAATCTATTATTCTTGAAATTGCTGACAATTTCAAAGATGACATGAAAGAGAGCGAGACACCCATCAATCACCATCAAGTTTCTTCAACTCACCATGAGGATTATTACCACTGGAAGTCTGGCAGTCAAATTAGAAGAATGAAGCCGGAATTGAACTTTTGAGCAGCGGTAGAAGCCAGAATATGTGATGAAGATGACAGTGATAAGGAAGAGGATTCGAGGACATGAGGAAGAGTGGTCAAAGCAAAACTGAGTAAAGTCTCTGACAAGTCGTCGTCACAACTAGCTAAATAAATTTACCTACTTAACACTAATATAATGGAAAATAGGGTCGTATCCACAGAGAAGGAATACTAATTATCAGGTATAAATTACTCCTATTATTATCTAGATAAATGATGATCTCATATTTATAAAATTTAAAACTAAAATAAATAAATAAAATAAAAGCAAATAATATTAATTCAAATAATCAGACAAAGAAAACCTAGGTCATTGGGTTCACCTACCGAATACTTGGTTTGGTCCAATTCATAAGTATTTGACTTTTAACTTCCATTAATCTCACAACGATTCACCTAATGAAGAACTACACACTCTCGCGCTATAATTTTCTTACTTAGATTAACCTTATGACTACTCTCTTGACTATAGGATTAACAAAAGCACATTAACAACTTAAGAATCTAACGTTGCAAAGGTTATGTTCCTACTGTCGTGGTTCACTACCTAAGTCCAATATTCCCATGAACTAATATTAATTTTCAACTGTTGTTCCATCAATTAATATCTTTAAACATGCAAGTAGTGGCCACTTACAAATATGGAATAAAAGCAAGAATATTAAATATTGATCAATGGAAAAATCAAAGTATCATGAATCAAATAAACCAAATAAATCCGGCGGCTACATCCAAGCCCTAGGTTAAAAGAATTTAGCCACTAAATATTATTAAAAATACTTCAATAATATTTAGAGACATAATCCTAAAAATCTGAATTAAATAATTAAACAAAAGAACCTGGAAAGAGAACAAAGCCGTCAACTTTAAAACTTGAGTGTGCACGGCGGCTGCTTGCTTCGTTTCGGTTCCCTCAGAAGCTTCTCCCTTAGCGACTTTGTGTTCAGATTCTTCTCGGCTGCAGGAGAGTAAGATTTGATGATGAAGAAAGGTGCTGCTGGCTGCTAAGGTGGTGCTGCGTGTGTGCGAAGTCAAGGAGGAAGCAAGGTGGTGAACTGGGGGGTGCGTGAGCTCGGCGGTGGTGCTGCGTGGTGATAAGGTGGAGGAGAGGTAATGGATTAAGGGTGGTGATTAAGGTGGATGAGGAGGGATGATAAAAGGGTGGTGTTGCGTGGGTGCGTGAGGTGAGTTAGGAGGGTTCGGTAGTTCGGTGGGGGTGATCAAGGATGATGATGTTTAAGGTGGTGAAGCTTCTGCGTGAGGTCAAGGTGGAGTTGCAACAGCAGGAAGGTGGAGCGGCGGGAGGACGTAGGGTTCTTTTTCGGTCAAGTTCGGTTGTAAAAATAAAACCCTAATACTCCTTTTATATACTTCCGTCAAACCCTACTTCTTGGAGAGGAAGAAAACTTGTTTCCTAAATAATATTGGGATTAAAATTCTTACCAAATTTAACCCCAAAAGCTGCACAACCTTAAAGCTCTCGGCCAAATCATTAAAAAAAAAAATGAGAATTGCAATTCAGTCCTCTAAATCTTCAAGTCTTCTGATTCCCTCCTCATTAGTTCTTAAAATGTTCACTTATGCCTTTTTTTAGCTGCTCTTTTTTTTCAATTTAGTCCAACACCTCAACAATTCTTCCATTTGAGTACAAAACCTACAAATAAAGATAAAATCATATAAATAGCATATTTGTAATCAAAATAGTAGCAAAAATCACAAATTAGGAATATAATAAATAGGTAAAATATAAGCATATCAGTCTCACGAATAAGCAAGATACAAAAAGAGAGTGGAAGAAAAAATGAAACTCACCTGAAGCCACACGGGCGATTTGGTGGAGAAGAAGCAGAACAAAGCTGTATGACAGAAAAACCAAAAATATAATAAAAGAGAAAAGTTGAATGGGAACTTTGAAGCCTACATTATGACTGGCTTAAAATACCAACTAAGATAAAAGCCATATTTTTTGGCTTTTGACACGTGATAATTACCTATTTTCACTACTAGATAATAAAAAAAAACTAAATTATCATTCCAGCTCTTGTCTATCATTTTCTTGATGATATCGATCCCCTTCATGATAATTATCTTTAACATCCTCCCTCAAACTGAGTCGGGGTTGGAGACACAGTTTGTTTCTTGAGTGATTCTGATGATGCTCTGGGCTGTTTTCTCTGGTGAGAATGTGAGTGACATGTGTGTTTTTGAGTGGTGTGCTTAAATTGTTGACTCTTAGAAATTATTGAGAAACGAGCTGTATCGATTCCCACTGCTGTGTTAGATTGTTGTATGACAATTCTAATCTCGTCTTCTGAGAGGAAATCGAACGTTTGCAATAATGTGGATTTTTGTAGATAGAGATATTTTTCTCTTTGTCATCTACGTATTTTGTTTCTCTTGTCAACCACAGAATTTTAGTGATCGACATGGCACTTAGATTGATGAGAGGTGGTGGTGATTGAGTGTAAGTCGACTGCTGCTTATGTTGCCTGAGGTTGGTTTTGAGTGAATCTAAGAGAGAAGACTCGGGATGGAGTTTGGGACTTGTAGAATTGGAGTTCGAGTCAGAGATTGATGATGTCAATGAGGATGAGAAATAATGCAATGTGGCTGGGAAAAAATTTTTTGTGGTGATCATGGTGGTGATAGGGAGTAATTTTGACGAAGACTTTGTAATCTTGATCTATTTGGGATATCCAAGGACATGGAACATAGATGTGAATAGAAGATTGATGATTTATTTCTTGAAACAAAAAATAAGCGGAAGCATGGCACAGAAGCAAGGAACCTGCTCTGATACCAACAGAAAAAACTAAAAATATGACGAACATCAATAAAAGAGAAAAGTTCAATGGAAACTTTGAAAACTACATTGTGACTGGCTTAAAATACCAACTGAGATAGAATTCATATTTATAGGCTTTCTACACATGATAATTACGTATTTTCACTTCTAGATAATAATAAAAAAACTAAATTATCAACTACTCAACACTTATCATTCCAGCTCTTGTCTATCCTTTTCTTGATGATATCCCCTTCATGATAATTATCTTTAACAGTATGATCCCCTAAACCGCCATGAAACTGAAATTGGGGTTTTATTTGGGGCATTTACAACATTTTTTATTTAGTTTCCATTATCCAAATTCGTCAGCTAAACTCAAACTTCATCTTCCAACTTTGCCACACTGAATTGCGAAGCCATGTCAATTGGAGACCACTATGGGCTGCTCTAACCTTTTTTTTTTGCAATAAAAAATCCACCTCAGTGGACCCAACTTAAATGTGGGTAAAATCCATCCCTTACAACCTTTTGTGAGAATCGAATCCTGATCTATCACCAGAAAAGATAGCAACCGAACCACTAGGTTGTCATTCAATTCCCCTGCTGCTCTAACCTCTTTTCCTCGCGCCTCTCTCGTTTTCTTCTCAAATTTTTCCCATAAATCCCAAGGCTCACCTCTCTCCTTTACCCCTAAAAAGAACCCTTTCTATCGCCTTGAAAGCCCGAGTACCCATAATTTGCAGCCGGTTAAGGTAAGACCCGTCGACATTAAATAGTACTCCCTCCGGTCCTTATTATAAGCCATTGCCCAGGTTGTCCTAAAAAGACGGTACCGGTAAAATTATCATTAACTACCGTGAGGAAGTTTCAAAAATGACAAGAATGAGAGTGAATCTACAGCAAGACTAATTCGAGGAGACTCCACTGATGAATGTTCTTTCGCTGATTTCGTTGGGGCCATGAAAGAAAGTTCTGAGTACTGAAGTTAGCGGAGATGAAACTGACTTGGAGAAAGAAGCTATCAGACTATCAATAGTTTGCATATTGGGATGCTTCTTATTGCTAAAAACTTCGTGGAAGAGAGAACCCAAAACCAATTCATGTGAACATATCACTCAGGACGGCCAAAATATAAGCAGTTTCTAATGTAAAGCACAACTTGAGCCTCATATAAATTAGGAGACATTGACGTACAACAGAATAAACATGTGGAAAAGCACAAAGAGAGCCCGCTGCTTATTAATTCAGACAGCATTAGGAGGATTCTAAACACCATGTCTAAGTACTCAAATTAATTTTGCTTGTGGCTTGTATTTCGTGTCATTAGATGATTACCCTACTTGCTTTGATAGAAAATGGAGGGATCAAAGATATAGCGTTCTTCATTCATCAAGAGAACACAGAAAATGTACATTAACTAATTAGCTGCATGCGCAGTTCCAAATGCTATTTTACTCTTTTCCTACTCCTAGATCTCAGGTCACTGAATCGCCGGTCCCTGGACAGCCACCCAAGAGAACTAGAAATGACTTTCCAATTTCTTCATATGGTTACAAATACCTTTCTCTATTTGCATAAATTTAAGCACAACTGAAGGAAAATGGGAATCATACCATAATTTATACTGAAAACTTCAGTTGGAGAATTCACAACTGAGTCAACGAGGGGATATAAACCAATATATGACTTTGAGTGCTTATTTTTGTATAATAACTAGAATTATCCCCGTGCATTGCACAAATTGTGTATGCATTGCGTAAAATTGTAAAATTCTGATCACATTGAGCCGAGCGGCATCGTCATAAAATGATGAAGTTTGTCGGATTTTGTGATACAATAATTCTTGTCCATGTTTAGTTGTGTAAATTATATTAATCTTTTTTTTGTATTTCATATTCAAAATGGTGTAATAATCGATAAAATTTAAGAAGTAATAATCGATAAAATTGATAATAATTTGGTATTGTAATTTTGTCATTTTTACAAATAAATTTAGTGAATTGAAAATGAAAGTTTTAGCGAACTCAAAAAGAAATGTAACAATATATAGTGTTTAATACAACATCTCTTTGCATATGAATTTATGATTTGCAATCTATTCCACCTTCTTGCTGCAAACAAGATGGTACACTTCATGCCCAACATAATTTCCAGCATATGAACAGTATTCATTGCCCAATGTACCATGCTGCCATTATTGATAGAAGCTTCATAAAAAAAAACAAAAAGAAGCTATCCAATTAAAATATGAAGTAGTAACAGAAATTACAAAGTTTGTGCCATTCTCAAATTACAATTAACCAAGCGCATTGCTAGTATCCTGAAAGGTGAAAGCATGTTATTACAAAGGTAATGCATTGGCATAGATCACATGTTTATCAAAAATTATTCTACTAGAAAATACTCAAATACAGAAGTGAGAAGAGTATATATATACATAGTAATAGCCAATATAATAAATACGCTACTTCATTCACATGAAGACTACGAAAAAATTATAAATCCACCCAACACAATATAATGATGGAAGAGGCTCAGAAAATAATACATACTGGCAAAAGTCGAAATAAAAAATATACGGACCTGATCCATCTATGTTCAGCATCTCACAGCCGATTGCAATCACTAAACCCGAACTATAAATGATTGGAATAAATCAAACGATATTAATTCGGTTGCAAGACTAGGATTCCAATTAAAAATTATTTTGGCCTACTCGACATCAAATGCTTCATAAAAACTGGAGGAACAAGACTAATCTCATGAATCATAGAGTACCAACTTCCCAAACTCTACATCTGATCTTTTCCCCTTCATATTTTGCGCCATCGCCGTCTCTGTATCATCTAAACGAAAAATAATTGAAAGTATAAATGAGTTATAGAGATCGAGGATTCATAAATTACTCTTTCTAACTATTTTTCAAAAAGCTGAAGAAAAAGGCTTCGGATAAATTAAGGTTTTCAATTAGGAGAACTGGGAACAAACGGTTTCTGAGATCCGCAATAAATGGAAATGGCACAGTATTGTTGTTTAATTTTAATTAACAAATTATGAAATATTTTCAAATTATATTTAATTTAAAATTTTTCTACTTAAATGTCCTTGAAAATGGGATAAATACCAATGTCGTAATAAAGGGTATATAACATCATTTATGTGGGAGTGCCTTAACAAATTTTTAGGTGGGTGTCCTAGTAGCCACCTTTTGTAGTAGTGAATGATTAATTTACGTTAAATATTTATTGCAATGACCTATAAGAGAAGATAAGTCACTAGAAATAACGCTATCACTATGATGTATACCTCAAAACATTTCGATCAAAAGAGGTATCAAGGAACAAAGCTCATGATTTGACTATAGAAGAATGAATATTTCTTTGCAATTGGTTCATTTCTAAAAAATTTAAGGCTTGTTCAATTATTTTTTAAGATGTTTAAATTAGTCTTAATATTCATACTAATCAATGTGTGATAAACTTTTTTTGTATGACTCTAGAAAAAGAGTGGTCGTAGCAAATATGATCAAACCAAAAATAAGGGAAAAAATAAATTTTGTAGCACGTAGTCCCTTGCAAGGATAGTCGAGGAAACTCCATGGCTATACTTTTTTTAATTAAAGTTTTTAACCACATCATATTCATTTCTAGAAATAAAAGTTAAATACCAAAGCTCTTACACGCAAGAGCAGCAAAATTTGATGAACTGTAAAAATATGAGCAGTTAGAACTAAGAACATGGGACCATGTTCCATGTTCTAAATACAATGGTTGATCCTAAAATATGACGAGTTATAAAGGTTTGGGGGCAAAACTAGGTTAGAAAATATATCAATTTCTATTCATCCACACACACACACACACACACACACACACCCAAGGTAACATTAATGCATTGAGAATTATCAAAAACAAGAGATCGGACACACACACACACACACGAGGTAACAACAACGTATAGAGGGTACAAAAACTTTATATTTTGATCATTGTAGTCAACACACACAAACACACACACGCACTGTGCATTGCCATTTTGACAAGGAACTGCACTAAGCACTCCTGCAAAAAATGGTAGCTACATCCTAAAATTCTATGCATGCACTTTCACGTGCTTTATTTATTTTTTTAATAAATGGATATTTTAATTAATGGAGAGTCCAGAGAAATACTAATAAGAAACCATTAGTACATTAAATAGTAGACATAACGATGGTAACGCTAAAGGTGTTGGTGACCTTTATTCGATACTCACAAATTAATTTTTACTATTTATTTTGAAACGAGTAACTTATATATAATCTTATCAGCCGAGTTACGATGTTTTATTGGTAGACGATCATGATTCTCGCCACTAAATATTTTAACCTTTTCCTTTTGATAATTCCATATTGTAATCACAACACATTCATTTCTAAAAGATTAAAGTTAAATTCCAAAACTCTTATAGGCGAGTGTAGCAAAATTTTGATGAACGATAAATATATGAGCAGTTAGAACTTAGAGCATGGGAGCATGGGACCAAGTTCCATGTTCTAACTAGAGTGCATGATCCCAAAACATTATGAGTTACAAAGTTTAAGGGGACTACACTAGGTAGAAAAATACGTTGATTCTTATTCATTCAACAAAATATAGATGAAGATAATGAAATAAAACATGAACACTTGATGCCCAATCATATTCCAGACGCGACACTGCCATTAGACATACAAGTATAAACCAACGAAATTTCGTTCTATCACTATAATCACTTAGATTGAGCAGATTTCTATAAACTGCTGAAAGTTGATTAACTCTAACTCACTCCCAAATTTTGACCCTCTCATAGTTCAGAACATCCTTCAACCTTCTAGCTACCGATGTTTCTTCTCCTTGGTTCTTTACATACTTTTTTCCAAATCTCCAATGACAGGTTATCAAAAAATCTCGTAACGTGAGAACTACTTTTTATTATTTTAGGGCTCGTCATTAATGTAGAGATCTCTCAGGATCAGTTTTTTTATTATATTGATTCTTCGAAATAAAAATGCAAAGCACAAAAGACAGACGAAACCAAGACTGAATCCAATTGCAATAACTAAGCAAGAAGTTAAAAATGTATCATACAGGTTCTTTACCTGGACTGATTCACCTTGAAAAAGATGTCACTTACCACTGTTGATCCTACTCGAAAGCTGATCGAATTGGTTGTTTTCTATCTTACCTCTTCAAGCACTGAAAAAATGGGAGCACTTTGTGTATTTTCTGTACTCATTGACAGAGATGTGGATATTTGTATCTCTGTACATGGACAGGTAGTACCGGTTCTAACATTGTTGCAAAGTGGAAAGGAACCTGTTGGAATTATAAATGGTATTCTAGGTTTTGTAAAAATTATGGTGCCATGCCTTATGCCAGAGACGTTGCGGAATTTTCTCCCTGGTATTTTTCAGGAAAGGATTTTGCATTGGGCCACAGCGTTCAAATGAGAGGTCACCGCAATTTTGGAATAAATGGTGAGTAAATGTGGAGTGACATTCGTAAAATCACATGTGCCATGATGCATAGGGATATTTTATGGGTTGTCCTGATGAAGCATCATGGAGGGAAAAAAAGGAAAAGAGTTTGAAGATTCTAGCAGCCTTATATCCGCCCTACGTGACTTGATATAACTTAGATTTCATTGTTGGTTCGATTGTCGATACCGAAACAAATATTTGAATTCTGAGTTCACTTGGTCATTTTAAGTGATTGCCAATTTGAAAAAGTATAGATAGAGGATCATGCATAACTCAAGCTCACTATTATTTGGCAATTGATAAAAGCCGATGACATTGACCATAAAAATAAAAATAAAAAAACACTAACCTTTTTTAATGGATTTTTCCAGGGATTGAATCAGAAAATGTTGGAGTATCAAGATTAACATATCCAGAACAATTCTCCACTGAGTAGTTTTCGCATATTAGAGGAATACCCTTAATATTTAAAGCTCCAATTGGGAAGTGGGGAACATGACCACTTAGATTGTTGTAAGACAAGTTCAATTAGTAAGTTGAGGGCCTTCAACTAATGGTTAAAGAATTGCACCACACAAAGTATTGTTATTCAACTGCAAAAAGTGAAAATTGGGTAAAGAACAGTGGCGGAGCCAAGAATCAACAAAAGTAGGGGCGAAAATTCTCAAAAGTTTTTTTAGAAGAGTAAAAATGTGTAGAAATTCTTTTTGCATAGGAAAAATTAAAATTTCCATAAATTTATACTAAAAACTTTAATAGTCTTCTAATGAAAAACTTAGGGGAGGGGGGCGGCCGTCCCTACTGGTCCCCCCTCACTCCACCACTGGTAAGGAACCAAATGAGTAACGTATAGCACTAGAGAACTTGTAATATTGGAAAGATCCAAGGTCTCAAGATTTGTGAGATTACTCAATTCTTCTGGAAGGTGACCCAAGATGATGTTCTCTGACGGCCTACATTATATCAAACTGGAACGTTAATGACTGTAATTTTGTTTTTTGAACATTTCTCAGTGGAACATGTCTATATCAGCCACTTAAAACTGCAGTGGAACTTCTAACATCATGGAAGAACGACTAAAAAAGTTGTAGGAATCAACAGTTGCATAAGTAATCAAAGGGTTTTCATTATATGCAGTAAGAGATAAATCCCTACCACTATAGCCTATTAATTTAGCTGCCAGAATTTGTAATGATATTGACTATTCACTTAGATCTCAAGGCCGCCTATAAAATGCTTCAAGTTCACAAAGACTAAAACCTTTTATCACTAGCCTACAAAAACAGTGTAGTCATTGAACTCCAAAGCCAAAAAGCACTCGCTCAATTGCTCTTTCTCTTTGGCTGATATGAAGACCTTTGGACGCTTTGACTCCACCTTGCAGATTTCCAAACACAGGCCACATTCCTCCACATTTTAAATCAAAACTCTATCACTCTCAACAAACTCCTCGTAATCCTCAAGTGTATTAGCATTAAAGTCGGAAGGTAATGTCTGTAGCAGCACACCCAGCTCCTTTTCCAGCTAAACCTGTTGTTCTCTGTGGTTCAGAGCTTGTGCAAGATGTAGTCCTTCAACTATGGACTTATGGGCGCCGTCACTTGCTGCAACCCACTGCATCTTGACATTTGTAATATTGTCCCAAGTCTCTTTTGCCTTTATGAACTTCACAAACAAGCGGCGCAATGGCAAATTATTAGTTTCGTGTTTAGCTTCAGAGGGCGCAATGGATATTTCTTTAGAACCAACACAGATTTGACAAAGGTATGGGTCCAACACCTTTGCATCAGCCAGTGTGGTACCCATGTAATCTAGGTGAACCCAGCTATTACGTCCACCACATTGAATGACATCTTTATCAGGATTGTATATTTCATCACATTTGCAGATCCTCTCAAGATTCGTTGGATCCGAATCGAATTCTCCGGTGCTAGATTTGTTATTGACCTGACAGAAAAAATCCGATTCTCCTATGCCTTCATTTTCATCAAGAGCAAGATCACCGTAGTCATCGAATGTGTGAACCATGCACCTTCCAATGATAGATTTCTCGTCTATTATATCTTTATGATCAGATGAAAATATCTCGTTGGTGCCATGAAAATCTTTTGCTCCTCCAATAACCTCATTTGGTCGATAATACCACTTCACTCTAAACTTTTTGTTTCATATTATCCGTCCTACGATATCAGAAACAAAAGGTTGTTTCTTGTTACCGGCTTCATCCTCTCTAGCATGGATGGTGACAGTGTCACCGGCGGGTTAATGATTGTACTTGTACATCATTAATTTTCTAATAAAAATTGATATGAAAAATATTTTGATGATATTTTTCGATTGTGACATGAAGGAATTGAGGTTGATAAGCCTTCTGAATTTGACTTATATGAATATGGTGACCTTTATTTGGCACTCACTAATTAATTTTTACTATTTATTTTGAAACGTAAAACCTTTATGTAATCTTGTCATCTGAGTTGCCGTAGTCCACCAACAGAGGATCACGATTCCGACCCCTCAACATGTATATATTCTTCATTTTAATAATTAACTACAACATGTTCATTTCTAGAAGATAAAAGCAAATACCAAATTCTTATATGCGAGAGGAGCAAAATTTGATTAACTGTAAAAATAGGAACAATTAGAACTTAGAACATGGCAGTGTGGGACCATGTTCCGTTCAAACGACAATGTTTGATCCCAAAACATTACGAGTTACAAAGGTTTAGGGAACTAAATTAGGTAGAAAAGTACATCAATTCTTATTTATTCAAGAAAACATAGATGAAGATATATTAATATAAAACAGGAACATTGGAGGCACAAACAGATTCTTGATGTGACACTGCCATCAGACATGCAACAATAAACTAATAAAAACTCGTCTTATTACAATAACCATTGTTGTTAGGCTCGGATCGGAGCTCGACTCGGCAGTGGATAGGGGTAGAGCGACTCGGGGGGTCGACTCGGATGACGTCATAATGACGTAATAAATATAAATTTTTAATAAAATTTTATAGATTCTATACACATTTGTTAATTGTTAAAGTCAAAGCAATGTTTCATACTTCAAATAAAGTTTCTATATAGCAAAATTACAACATTAGCTAGACTAATGGTCTAATTTAACTTTGATTATAATTAAAAATTAATAAGTCATTACATGTTTAATCAATGTATTTGGTTGTACTTTATTTTAAAGTAATGAATATTGCTAGATTTATTTAGTTCATAATATTTTACTTTAGTTCAAACAATGATTATTATTACTCAATTTGACATTTGGAATGTGAGATGAATGACTAAATTGAAAATTTAGACTTAAAAAATTTGAAATTATGGGTTTAAATAACATAAATATAAAAGTTATGGATCATTAGTAATATAAAAAATCTAATTGCGGGTTAAAAGTGAAAATTTCATATTAAATACACCTCAAAAGTAGTGCAAAAATTTAAAAAATTTTAAAAATTGGGCTGAAAGTCAAAACTCGGTTGAACCCGGGTTAGACCAATTTCTGGTTTAACTGGAATGTTGACTGGTTTTGACCGAATCTTGAATGGCCGATTTTCTGAGCTACTCGGATCGGCCTAAGGTCCGGTTTCTGGTTAAAGCGGTTCGACCGGCTAGTCCGATCCGAACTTAACAACACTGACAATAACCAATTAGTCTGATCAAATTCCTGTGAACTGCTCAAAATGATAAACTCCAACTTACTTCCAATTGGTGACTCTCCCGCAGTTCGAAACAACCTTCAACCTTTTTACTGCTGATGTTCTTTCTCCTTGGTTCTTTTCATAATCATTTCAAAATCTCAAATGATAGGTTATCGAAAAATTCACGTAACGTGCGAACTCTTTTTAGTTATCTTTGGGATTGCCATTAATGTAGAGAGCTCTCATTATATTTTTTCTTATATTCATTTTCGAATAAAAAATACAAAGCATAGAAGAAGATGAAACCGAGACTGAACTCTAGTACAATAACTAACCTTTTCGAATGGGTTTTCCCAATAATTGAATTGGAAAATATAGGAGATCGAGAGTTGATGTATCCTAAACAATTTTCCCCTAAGTAGTTTATGCATATTGAAAGATTACCCTTTAATTTTTAAAGCTCTGGTTGGAAACTGAGGAACATGAGCTCTGAGATTGTTGTAAGACAAGTCCAATAAAGTAAGTTGGAAGCCTTCAACTAATGATTCAGGAATTGAAACACACAAATTATTGTTATTCAACGCATAAATTAAAAATTGGGTAAGGAAGCAAGTGAAGGAGGTATCGGACCAGAGAATTTGTTATAAAATGTCTCAAGATTTTTGAGATTACTTAATTCTTCTGGAAGGTGACCTGAGATGTTCTTCTTCTCCAATGGCCTACATTGTATCAAACTGGAAGGTCTAATTAATGTACTTGTACATCATTAATTTACTAATAAAAATTTTATATAAAATTTTTTTTGATGTTTTGTTTTTATTGTGAGATGAAGGAATTGAGGGTGATAAGCCGGTTGAAATTGACTTAAATGAATATGGTGCTTGATTGGAGAGAACTCAGCTTGGTGGACTGTGATAATCTATAGATATAATTTTCAACATTAAAGTTTGTATTCACATGATTTTCTACAGCTAAACTCAACGAAAAATATTTTTATTATTATTTTTAAAAGTTGCAAGTTAATGGCGAGTGTCAGTTGCTTATAATTGAGAATTCACAACAAACAGGATATACACACAGTCTCTCTCTCTCTCTCTCTCTCTCTCTCTCTCTCTCTCTCTCTCTCTCTCTCTCTCTCTCACACACACACACACACAGTGCATTGTTATTTTGGCGATGAACTACACTGAGCACTCCTGCAGAAAATGGTAGCAACAGGCTACAATTCTATGCCTGCACTTTCACATATTTTACCTTTTTTTAAAATAAATGGATACTTTAATTAATGGAGAGTCTAAAGAAATAATAGTAATAATCCATTAGTACATTACACAGTATACAGGTGGTAATGCTAAAGATGTTGGTGACCTTTATTTGTCACTCACTCATTAATTTTTACAAATTATTTGAAAGGGGTAACCTATGTTAATCTCATCATTCGAGTTACGATATTGCACCAGTAGAGGATCATGCTTTCGGTCACCCAACATCTTTATCTTCTTTCTTCTAATAATTCCATATTCTACTCAGTGGATGATTCTTTTTCAATGACTTAATTCACTTTTTCCCGTATTGTCGAATCTATACATTCACTATGTTCCAATATGATTGTCTCGTTTTCTTTTCTAAACTTTTAACACAATTTGTTCCAAAATTAAAAATTCAAACTGAACAAATAGTGGAAAAACACAATATTGATTGTTGAAGATGGTGGGAAAATGTCAAATCAACATATTAGTCATCCCTTTATTAAGAAACCCCCCCCCCTCCTAAGCCTACATCATTATAAATGTATATGTAAACAAGTTCAAGTATACATATAAACCTTGATTCATGTATTACTACTAGCAAATATTTCATATTGGTGGTGGTTATGCAGTATGGAAATTTCACATTTGTGATGCAAAGATAATAGGGGAGGGAGTACATCTTGGAAAGAATGTTCAAAAAGATTTTTGGAGGGAAAACTTGGGCCCAATGGTCAAAATTAGGATGTGGGCCTTGTTGATTAGGTAGAACCTGAAGGTAAATGATCTAAGTTAAAATGTATAAAAGACTGAAATTAAAATTTGCCTTTTAATTTGTTGCAGGGTTTAATGAGCATCATTTTAATTTTCTAAAATCCGCACCTATCACTTCATTTGACAACAAGGTATATCAATCTTCCTCCTATAAATGTTTTTTTGGACAAAACTATGTAGTCATGTTTAGAAGATAGGATTTTATTTTATTTTTTTTTTCTTATGTCCCAGGGCCAGTGATATAATTTTAAGTTTTGTGGTAAAAATTTAATTTCTAAATACGGGAATTGGAAATTTCCATATCCATATGTTCATTTGTGTGGCAAGCTTGGCACTATAGTTTTTTCAGTGACAAGTTCTTTAATTGTTGGATTGCATAAGTTTCTTCACCGTATCTTATGTTGTAAAAGTTCAAATTTAAAGTGTTTGGTTAGGGCTTACTATGAATTAAAGTTGCTATTATTTAATTCTTGTTTATCATACATTAATTAATCTAAAAAGTACCATAACTTCACCGGCTATATTTGTTCACCACCATAAGTTCAAAAATAATTTAAGTCCCACCAAAACTTCAATTCCTGTCTTTTTCTAATTTTCCGTCCTTTTCCCGTAAAAAATGTCACGGAAGCCTGACTGGCACGTGCCTTTAACGAAGGGCCAATTTTGTCATTTTAATGTGGGTTTTTACATTTACCGATTTACCATTTAAAAAAATGAATTTACTCTATATATTATCATATTCTAATTCCCAAATCGAGAACCATTCCAGAAACCCTAATTTCTATCCATCTCTTCCAGTCGAAGTCCACCATCTCTTCCAGTCGAAGTCCACCATCTCTTCCACCTTCACCGACGCCGACGTAGGTGGAAAGCAGAAGGAATCGTCGACAACGCCGCCTGACAAAAATCTTCACCGACGCCGACGCAGGTGGAAAGCAGAAAGAATTGTTGACGCCGCCGCCGGAAAGCAATCTTTTGACCAAACTTTTGGCCGCAAATCGTTCACCTCTGAAAGTAGATCCTGCTACCTACGCTAATCATAGTCAAACAGTCTCTTTTGGGAAAATGGTGATAGAGGATTTTAATTGTGGCAAATGTCGGAGGAAAGCCATTATAATTCCATCGACAACTCATGATAATCCAGGGCGTCTCTATTATAGATGTCCAATTCATGGGTTTTTGAAATGGTTTGATCACAGCAACATCGAATCTGGGTCGACTTTATAAGGGATTCGCAGAAGAAATTTCATAACTGGTGAATCGAAAGATGGGATTGAGGAAAATAGTCAAGGCAAAGAGGAGGGGATGGAGCAGGTTAGTCAAGAATTTGTATCGGGGAATTACGAAATTGTCGGGAAGAAACCCAAGCTTGAATGCTGCAAGTGCAAATCGAAATTGGATTTGATTCTGTTTGGTTTATTTGCAGGGTTTGTTGTTAATGTCATGATTTTTTTCCTTGTGCTGGTCGTACTGTGTAAGAAGTAGTAGATTGAAGTTCCAATTGCACTGGGTGAGGTAGATTGATTAGTTTTGCAAGGTTAAAATTCCTTGTTGTGTAAGATCTTGAACCAGTATTTTGGCTCTGTTTATTGTGTTGTGAGGAGTTTCTTTTAGTCTAGACGAATTAAATAGAGTCAGTGAATAGGCTCTGTATTTTGGCTCTGTTTTTTGTATATCTTATTGTTACATCTTCTAAATCTAGAGGAGTTTCTTTAAGTTCTCGAATCAAGAATTTTAATACTCGTGTTCGACTCTTTTAACATGAGAAGTTACAACATATGATTACCATAATCTAGTTTAAAGATACGACAATATCAAATAGTCGTAACAAGACAAGTACGACAAATGAACACAACGAAATACGCATATCGGATTCAAAGTTCTGAGCAACGGTTTAGAAAGGACCAAACATATCATGCCAACATATCAGTACAATATCAGTACAAGTTCCATGCAAAAAATGCAATCCAGTAGGATGCATACAAAAGGCTAACACAGCCATAAACATAGCCAGGCTAAAAATCATCATTTTTCAGTCTTCGAAGGTTGCACCTCGCTGTTTGGCTTACCCAAGTCTTTATAGATAGCATGCAAGTCATTGGTTAATGCAACCAGATTAGATGTTAGGTTTGCATCTATTTTGACCTGATTGGAACCAATATTAAACATACTATCTGATGATGAAGAAGGGAGTTTGAACCCATACTTCGCATACAACTCATTCTCTCTAGCAACAGCTTTAGCAGTCTGTTCAGCAATGTAGTCACAAGCCTTTTTTGATCCACAATGAATCTGGCCATCTGGTTCCTTCAGCTTTTCAAGTTGTTTGGCCATATTAGATTCAACATTTACTGGTTTCGGCACAACATGGCAAAAGAGTTTCTGGATCTTTCTTGCCTGGGACAGTTCATGTTAATGCAGGCATCCTAAGAAACCATACAACTCAATTTAAGGGTTAAAACAAAAGTAAAAAAAAAACAAACAAAATGACTGCTATATTCGTACCTCTGCCTTGGAACCAGAATTTGCGCTCTGCTTTCCTTTCTTTTTTTTCTTGGTAGCCTGATCATGTGCAGGAACAAACACTGTCCTACCCCGTAGTGTTTGGACTTGATGTCCCGACTGATCATTTAATATCACTATGTCTGGTTCACTACTTGCAGGCCTCTTTTTACTTTGTTGGGGTGCATTTGGGGTGTTGATGATTTCATCTAAGGCAGCAGTGATGACTTCTGCACTTTCCTCAGCTTTCTTCTTCCCCTTTTAACATCCAGTTACATTTAACCAAACCTTATATAAGCTACACTGTGAATCCATGAAAATCAATAAAGACCTTGTATAAAATCAACACAATCCTACCTCGTATTCTGGGCAGTCCTCTTTGGTGTGACCAAACTGAGGACAGTAATCACATTTTATCAAATAAGGCGTATTATCGTAATCAACATCATCTCCTGCCTGACTTTCAAGAGGTGCATTTGGGGTGCTTATCTCCTACAAAAAAATGTAAATATCTTGTATTAATATCAACACTGTGAATATATAAAAAACAATGTAAAAAAGATAAACAATGTAATGTGTAACTATCAGTACAATGCACCTCTTCCATTTGACCATTATCACCATTTTGACTACTACGAAGGTATTCCTCTTCCATTTGTGTTATTTCTTTTAAGATTGGACATGTTTCAACAGTTTGAGTGGTTGAATCACAAGCAGCACACTCGGATACCACCAGTTGTGGCTGTTCTATTCCATTAGTCCGACTTAAATTCAGAGATGCTTCATTCAGTGCCTAACGCTCTTTACATACAGAAAAATCAATTTTATTGGAGAGAAAACACTTAAATTTAGTCAATGAATATAAACTACTGTAAAAACACAATTACCTGTCGTTCTTCAATTTCCTTCACCATCTCTCTCTGCCTTTCTAATAAAGGACATATTGATTGGAAATGTCTCGTCTGATTGTAATTTTTACACACTGATTTTGCAGTTGGTTTTCTGCCCCTTCTCTTGGGGAGGTTACTGGTTCCCTCAAATGTGGAGTTCTTCTTAGGCTTCGGAGGCCTACCCATCTTCTTGGGTTTAGGAGGAATCCCCTAGGCATAAAACATTAAAACTGAGTTAACTAACCATACATATTAACTGAGTTAAATTGGAAAAAAAAAGAAAAATGGAAAAAACTAAAAATTAGGGTTTCAGAATTTTTATACCTTCGGCGGGATAGTAGATAGCTTAATTCCTACAGCCCTAGCTTCTTTTAAGTCATGACAAGTTTTCTTGATGTGTGAGCCCCAACAGTAACCACATTTGTGCTTTCCTGGTCCAACCTTCCTACTCGGTTTTAAGGAGCCCCTCTTGTTCATCTTAAGAGGCACGTCAACTGGAAGCTTATTCCTGCTACTCTTTGGCCTACCAAGAAGGACTCTAAAATATGGAGGCTTGATTGGTGCCTCTTTAGATTTTGGCCAGAAAAGAGGCATATTTACTGGTCTTATAACAGGTGTATAGGCCTTCAAATACATCTCCTTCGAGTAATACTTATCCACATAATCCTCGATCTTTTTGTTTGCTTCCCAAATGCAACAGATTGCATGAGGACACGGGAGACTTGTTAATTCCCATTTTCTGCATGCACAAGTATGATTCTTCAAGCTGACAATATACTGTTCATAGGCATTCTTCACCTCATATTCCCCATCACCAGCATAATCACAACTATAAGTTGCAGCCTGTTCCTTGTAAGTCTCTAATCTGGCAAAAATCTTCGGCCCAACCACAAAATCATTCTTCTGAATCCATTCCCTCTTCTTCTGATGCCTCTTCATCAAATAAATTCTAAGCCACTCAAGCATACCTCTGATTGCAAGCTTTCTAGCACTAAGTATTGCTCTATAAACCCCTCACAAATATTGTTAACAAGCATATCACACTTGGTAACACACTCAAAGAATTCCCGACACCAGTGATGAGCTTCTTCTCTGCTTAGCCATTCCCATGCCCTTCATTTTCTACTCTCAGTTCATCCATCAGTTTATGAAAAAGTTCGGGGGTAGTGGCCTTAGCAATGCTACACATTTTCTGTTTCATTTCAACCCCCGGGAACTCCTTCTTAAAGTTGTTCCACATGTGTTGCACACAAAACCTATGAGATACATTTCCCAATGCACCATTCACAACTGGAATTAGACCCTTCAATAAAAACATATAAACAGGTTGTTATTACCAGTTATAAAATATGCTCTTGTAATGTACCAGAATAAACAGCAAAACAGCAAAACCAGAATAAACAAATATTTCCTAAGTACCAGTTACACAAAAAAAAGGTTACCTTCTGCCTATCAGATATAATAATCCAATCCGGAGTGTTTGTGATCCCTAGATCTTTTATCAGCCAGGCCAGAAACCAGCCCCAGCTGTCCTGGCTTTCACTCTCAACTACTACAAAAGCTACCGGATAGATGTTGTTATTTGTGTCGAATCCTACTGCAGTTAGGAGGATCCCTTTACATTGTGTCTTTAGAAATGTTCCATCAACCCCAATAATCTTCCGACATCCTTCCTTGAACCCTTTCTTGCAGCCTGTGTAACACAAATATAACCTCTTGAACCTATCAAGTTCATCATCCTCACATATCACTTGAATGGATGTCCCAGGATTAGACCTTTTAACCTCAGCCATGTAGCTTTCTAATTCAGCATACTGTTCAGTAATCTTTCCCCGAACCTTTTCCAAAGCCTTTCTCTTTGCATTCCAGGCCTGAGTTCTGGAGATTGTCAGTTGATGCTCATTTTTTACCCTAAACTTCAATGTACTCACAGTGATATTGGGATCATCAGCAAAATCTGGGACATACCAGTCAGAAATTATATTGGAATTGACGTTTCTGGTACTCCACACTCTTCCACAGCTATGCTTGGTATTCACAGTCCTGATCTGGAAAGTGTTTTCATTCTCTCCTTCCATTTTAACCCCATAAACCTCCCAGTTACAATGCCTACACTTCCCATGCACAAACAGCTTATCATTTTTCTTAAAGTCGATGATTCTCCGATCAACAATTCCATGCCTTTTTAGTGCATCCAACAAAATCCACTTAGTTCCAAACTTCTGATATAGCTCAAATTTGGGATTCTTCATGTCTATTGCGGGGTTAAAGACCTTGTCCTTTTTCACTGGACGTTCACTCTCTTGTTCCTCATATTCATTTTCACTCAATAAGTCATCACAAGACCCATAATCTTCATCCGAATCATTGGCTTCACTCCCATTTGAACCCTTCACATCTTCAGCATGCTTTGTATCAGGTTGCTGCCTAAAAGAACACCATGGTGTAGAGTCAACCCTATCATCAACGTACTTTCTGAAATCCTCATCATCCTTGTCAGACATTTCATAATCACTCTCAGCAATATAATCTGAATCATTGGCCTCTTCATCTTCAGAATCCCATATTAGATTATCCTGCTGACCTTTTTTCATGAAAGGATCGAACTCATTCGCCCCTAACCTGAACATTTCAACAATCCCAGATTCATTATTCAATGCTATCAAGTCATAAACATCTTTATCCCCTCCAATGACTCTATATCCTCCATGCCTTTCCACATTTGGATCCTTAAAATAAAGCTTATGTGGTCTGCAATACCTAGTCCTATCAACAAGCATTACTAGAAAGAGGGTCTTATACTACACTTCTCAGTAACCTTTTTAAGGCATTCAATTGAGAGTGTCATCATAATTCCCTTTAAATGGCATTAAACTATTGAGGCATTTTCCTTAATAAAAATTCTATTTTCTTTTTTTACAATACAAGTAAATAAAAAAAATTATAGCTTATCCGCCGCTAGTTTTGTGCCTCAAAACAAAGGGGAAAAAAAACCCCCTCAATCTTATCAATATTTTTATTTTTATTACTCGTACTATTTATTTTTTAAATGTTCATCACCTCGTTTCCTCTTTTTCCTAAACCAAATTTGTTCTCGCCAATTCAATACAAGTTCTCAATTCTTAGACTAATACTCATCCGGAACACTAGAATCGACAAATGATGCGGTAGAGTTCAAGATTAAATTCACCAGCGTACTGATTCACCATCATCCAAGTTTTTTTGTTGTCCCTCATGAAATACAGAAAATCCCTTTTCGAAGCCCAAAGTTCCTTCACGAATTGGTGGCCGAGTTTTTCACATCGAATTTGGCTCAAAGAGAAAGGGGTAATTTAATATGTTTTGTTCCTCTTCCGCTGTATGTTCCATTAATTCGTTATTTTGTTTCTGTATTGATGGCAATATAAATTTTATAAAGATCTCTAGGGTTTTTTCCTCCATATTTTTCCCCATGAAGAATAGGTGAAGGTAGATTGCTGTTTTACTCTAATAATTCTCTGTTTTATAAAGATTAAAAGGAGGATTGCATGATCCTTTTGGAGAGTTAGGGAGTTATAGATTCTGGTTTTTCTTAGGCTTTTTGGTGATTTTTGCTGAATATTTAGCTAATTAATTAAACATTTGAGTAATCTTTATTTTGCAATTTGCACATGATATGGGCTTTGCTTTGATCTTTGTCTTTCTCATTGTTGTTGGCTACATCTGCGATTAATGTTGTTTCACATGTTTTACACTTAGAATATTTCTAACTTTCCTCTATCTATAGTTCTTTCTTTTATCTTGAATTACCAAATTAAACTTGTTCTTGTTTCTTGTAGTTATTTGAGGTTGGTCTTTGTAGCAAAACGTACAAATTTGTTTACCCAAAAAAAGGTACATATTCTTAACTTTAATCTATCAATTAGAGTGAAAAACTAATCTGCCTAATTTGGGTTTGCTTACTTTCATTTTTGGGTGTAAGTTTCTTTTTATAATTTTCACTTGATCGCCCTATATCTTAATCAAAGTGTGTCAAGATAACCTATATGGTGGGGCACACATGAATGAGATGATTGAGTAATAGCCTTTTTGTTACTATTGAATCACCAAATGCTACAGGAATTAAATACTAAGAGCTTTCTTTTTCTTGGGTTTGTAAGTTTTACATGTTTTGCAGAACTTTAAGGACAATTCTAACTTATTGGCTTAGTTGTATTGTTCTTAATCAGGTATGCTGCTTATTATTTAGTTTACTTGAAACCTTAAATTTGATTTGAAATGTTTATTAAGGTTGGATTTCCATGTGATGAAGAAGATATGACTTTGGATTTAACCTTTCTCTGATTTTCAATCTTTATACATAAATTATTAGCATCTTTACTGCGAAACCTTTAGTTGCTCATATTTTGATTTAGTATTAGTATACATTCCTTCTATCTCAAAATTATTATCCACTTTGGATTTTCACTTTTAATGAATAAAACATGATACTCCAAACTGGATTCTAGTTTTGGGATTAAGGGAGTGTATGATTGAAATGATGTTCCACCTCTAAAGGTGTCAAGTAGTATTCCATATGTTTGATCTTGTACTTTTTATTTAATAATCATGTTTGGGAAACTTTTTGCAGCATTCATCCGGAAGGGAGAAGTTGGATAGGAAAATATGAACTTTCGCTATCATTGTTTCCAACTTGAACAGTAGTACATTGTGGCATACGAGAAGAAGATTTTTCAGTTATGGGGATTTCATAAGGATCTTATATGTGGACAAAATGATGCAATTTGAAGAAAAATTGCAGTCCTTGTGTTGTCATGATAGTTAAAATTTCTTGTTCTCCTGTTAGCTTTTATGGAATTGTATACAAAAGATTAAGTTTTTGGTTCTTTTTACCCCCTTTGTTAGTGCTACGTTTGGGTGCTACTTTGTTTTCTTCCTTATATGAATATAATTAAAATTTTATTTTTTATTGAATATATTTTTATATTTTACAATAAAGTATTTACAGTAAAAAGATTATGAATTATTTTTTCCACCAAAATTAATTATTGGTGTTGTATAGCATTCATAAGTGACGTGATATACCATTTGTGAAGACCCTTCAAATGCCTCAACTTTTAAGAAATGCCACGATAGATAATTTGTGGAGGCACTATTATTATTCTCTGGGCATTTAAAAATGCCATAATAGGATATATGTTATAACACTTAATAATTGTCTTTAAAAACTACATATGATTACACAAAACCTATTATCACATTGAATTTAAAGGGACTTTTCCAAAATGCCTTAAAAGGTCAAAGTGCCTTAGTAGTCCATATATTAAGGCACTTATAAATGCCTCTAAACACTATTTTCTAGTAGTTGAAGGGTTTCCAGCCCCTCTTTTGTAAGCATCGCAGAATCTACCTTGTCAAAGTACTCAACTTCACCCTCCATATAACTGTACTTATTTTGCAGAACAAACCCACCCCCATGGCAAAGCTTAACTGTAATCAGATTGGAACCCTCACCTGAAAATAAACCAGCCAAAAAAAAAAAATTAGTGACCACCTTCTAATAGAGGTGCTTCACAAAAGCATTAAACTATATACATTAGGTTACCAACGTTGTTTTATATGTTAACAGGACATTTTATATCATTAAAGGCACAAAAAACACACAAACACAGCTATACAAACTACAAAATATGTTTAATCACATACAAAGATGAAAGCATAATTATATATAAACCACCATTTTCTAGGGTTTCACAAAACAGGAACAAAAAATATCCATTTGAAGTCCTTTATGTACTTGAAATTTTGAAACCACAACTTTTATAAAATAAAAAATCCCCATACCCTGAACCCAGATAATAATTAATATAAAACTTGACACCCATAAACCGACATACACAAATTTCACTAAGAAAATACTCTGCAGATAATACTCAAACTCGAATCCCAGATCTAACACAACTTTCATAAAAATAAACTCAGAATTCCAGAAACCCTAGTACAATAATACATGAAACCCCACATGAAATTACCCCGCATGTAATAAAATATGAAATAACCCTAAACCCAGAAACCCAGAAACCCCCATACGCATATATCAGGTTGAAACCCAAAAAACGTACTGTAAATGGGAGTTTGGCCGTGGCCGTCGCCGTCACCGTTGCCTTCCGTCGGAGTGTAATCCCTCCACCTCCACATCTTTCGATCGTTTTATGAAGAAAACCAATCTAATGCCACAGATCTGACCTTATAAACCCTAATTTGTAAGCTCTTTTCTCCGCCGAAACTCCTAAACTATCCAAAACTCCCCATTTGCACCCTAAAATTTCAATTTCAGGCGTGAAATTGAAAACCCTAGAATTTTTCCCCTTTCTCCCCCATATCCCGAAGATGTGTATTTGCCTTTTCGTTTTTCTTTGTTTGACCGTTTTCTGACTTTTGGAGTATAAAAGTTTCAGACAAAAGAAATGGATACGGGTCATACGGATTTGACCATGACCCGGGTCAATTTTTAATTTTTTTTCTGCCTTGCACGTGATTAAATGACATAATTGCCCCTCCTACAAAGGCACGTGCAAGTCATGCCTCCGTTGGCTTTTTGACGGAAATTGGAAGGAAAAGTGAAAAAAGACAGACGCTAAAGTTTTGGTGGGACTTAAATTATTTTTGAACATATAGTGGTGAACGAATATAGCAGGTGAAATTATGGTACTTTTTAGATTAATTATTGATTATCAATTACTATTTGTCTTATTCAAAGTGAACGTTTGCATATGCTTTTTTTTTTTTTTTTTTGAATGTGGATTGGGTTCAAGTCTGATGAATTTATTTCTACTCATTAAGAGTTGGAACAAAGGCTTTAAGAGTACCATGGATTGAGTGTGGTTTCGTTGACAAGGTTGAGTGGGGATTTCTCACTTTTTTGACTGTGAATATCTAAAAACCAATGTTGGGGGTTAGCGGAGTTGGTACGGGTACAAGCTTTAGCTCGAAGAAATCAGGAATGATCAAATCAAATCCCTACTTTGCAATGAACGCTAGTCCCATGACTTTGGTAGTGTACCCTCCATGTATTCAATGGTTCTTCTCAGAGGCTTTCCCTTTCAATGTACTGATCTAGATATTTTGAAGTTCTTTGTTATGCTAGATATATATGGTAAGTTATGGTAGACAATTTTTTGTAGAAGGTTTTGTCGGTTTTGCATCTCTTCCTATGCATGCTGGAAAGGAGATACGTTGAAACTTTCAAGCGTAAGAAAACTAGATTATTATAATGTTATTGTTGCTTAAGCACATTATGTTTATTATGACAATCAAGGATCACCACCTCTAACTTATTCAAGAAGGTTCGTACACACTGATTAGTTGGACTGGACAAAAGCACTACGGCAACAAAACCTTCCTTGTGCTATCAAAAATAGACAAATTGTGGAATTTGATGGAAATTCTAATCTTGCACAAGATAAAGTACATATTGTAGATACCAACATGGTGCAAAGGGCCAACAAAATGATCGGCGCAACCTAAATGGAACCTCTCCCTTCAATACCAATCAAAAGCCTTATGTGGAGAGTCATGATCAAGACAATGATTATTTATCTTATTTATTAATGTTCTTCTCTAGGTTATAGGACCATGAACTTTTCTTTCAGCTCTTGATCGAACAGTACTAGCTATAGCTATGTCATTTTGCATTTGTTAATATTTAATTTCTTTATTGTATACTTGTACTGTTGTACATACAAGTTCGTTGTTGATTTTCTTAGCTCCTAAAGATATGAAGAGCTCCAAACATTTCTGG